GAAATAAGCCCTCCCCCAAAAATAAGCCCTCCCCAAAAACATTGCAGCACAGCAGCAGCCACGAGGTGACCACGCTCGCCGTCTCCTGCATCCCAAAAATAATAAGACCTCCCCGAAAATAAGGCCAAGCGCTTATTTCTGGGGTCAAAAGAATTTTCGGGGAAACACGGTATTGAGATTAGGAGAATGTTCCATGTTCCTCTGCAGAGAGAAAATCTCCTTGGGTTTTTCTTTAACCGGGCGAGATCCACCTTGGGGAGGTCTCGTCCTCGCGTTCAAAACAGCCAGTTGGTCACCATTTTGGAGAGGTTTTTGGGGGGCTGGGGAAATGGCCGCGTGGGCAAGGCTGGGCTGGTTTTTTGGGGAAAGACGGGAGTTCTGTCACGAGGTTCCAAAGGAACAATTCTGAAGCGTCTGATTTTCTGGTTTTCCTTTTGCAGAACAAGCCAACTTCCTGCCCCCCCCCGATGTCTTATCAGTGCAAGCAACCTTGCCTCCCGCCCCCCTGCCTGAAGGGCACCACCGTCTGTGTGGGTCCCGGCACCACCGTCTGCGTCTCCCCAACGCAGGGCCAGAGCGTCGAAGTCTGCGCCTCTCCCACCGGAGCCATCTGCGTGACCCAAGGCCAAGGTCCGGGCCAGTGCGCCAAAATTTGCCACGATAGTTGCGGATCCGTGGTCGTCACTCCGGTGCAGACCCAGGGCTTCGCCCCCTGCGCCACCACCATCTCGGTGAGCCAGAACCAGGGGCAAAATAGCGCCGTGTGCATCCCCCAACCTCAGGGCTGCCAGTGCGCGGCCTGCTGTGGATCTGTGGCCCCCATCCAGACCCAAGGCGTCTGTGCCCCCATCCAGACCCAAGGCGGCTGTGCCCCCATCCAGACCCAAGGCGGCTGTGCCCCCATCCAGACCCAAGGCGGCTGTGCCCCCATCTGCGCTTCCCCTGTCTGCGTCTCCCCCGCCGCGGTGGTCTGCCAGGACCCCTNTCCCTCCTTCCTACCCCCCTTTCTTCTCTTTCTTCTCTCCTTCCTTCCTTAAAACCAGGAAGTGAGAATCAAAGCTGCTACACACACACACACACACACACACATTTTTCCTGTGGTTACACAGGAATGGTGACTGATGGTGACTAGAAATGTGAGTCCCGTTGCCGTTGTTGTGCCACATTTTAATCATTTACGACACACATCCGCTTCGGCTCAACTTGAGCAATGAGATGCTGGCTGGTTTCATGCATATATGTGCATTTCCTAATGGCCAAAGTCAACTTATTTGACTCCGCATACATAAAATACCAGCCGGCAGCTAATTTCCAGAATGAGGTTCTAAGGTGGATTGAGACCCCCCGCTAGTTATCTTCTAACTGAGCCCCCCAAACGCTACAAAACTTCCCAAGCATGGGGGTCACAAACATTCCCAACCGAAGGTCTTTGTGGTTGAAATTAAGAGCAACAGGACTTCAAGCAATCCGAATGGAGCTGGAAGGGACCTTGGAGGTCTTCTAGTCCAGCCCCCTGCTCAAGCAGGAGACCCTAGACCATTTCAGATGAGTGACTGTCCAGGCTCTTCTTAAAAACCTCCAATGATGAAGCACTACATCATCTTCGTTCCACTGGTTCATTGTTAACTGTTAGAATCCCAGGTTCCTTCTCTCCTTGATTTAGATGAGGGTCTTCAAAAAAATTAACTCATTCTGGGTGTTTCTGGTCAGGCCTGGAAGCTACATTTGCCTGTTGAATTTCAGGCCTGCCGCACTTTCTACTGTGGGAGAATGAGAGGGGGGATTCTATGGAGTTGGGTGATATGTAGCCATAATAACATTCTTCTTAGAAAGCCAAGGTCATCTTTGTCTCGGCACCTGGTGCACACTGGATGGGACGAATCCGTCTTCGTGGCAATGGAAGATTGGACCATGTGATAGATTTGTGGATGTTGGGGTAAGATCTTGAACTTTCAACTTGGGTGGGAAAACCTGGAAGTTTCCCCAGATGTGCCAACTTGGCTCTCTTCATCAATTGGAATTTTGAGGAACCTCGGATTCTTCTTTTGTTTTGGATGCTATTGGGAACCCTGAAATTTTCTTAGCTAGCCCAGCCCCTTCGTTGCTTCCACGCAGAGGTGGATTCCTACCAGTTCACACCTATTCGGTAGAACCGGTTCGTCAAATCCACCGAACCGGTTAGAAGAGGTTCCACCAGTGGACCTGGAAAGCAGGCCACACCTACAGAAGAGGTTCCGAATAATTTTTGAAACCCACCACTGCGTCCACGTGCCTGAACCTCATCTCAGAAGACCAGGCCACAAAGTCTCCCACTCCACATGTATGAACCTTCTCATTAGGACTTCCGCTCACTCCAAATTAATGAGGCCGGTCAGTCAGCAATTTGAAGAGCACTAGGTGGAATTCATTGGGACTCTCCTAACCACACATTTCTCTCTCGCCTGGGGCAACTTCCTGGAGGCCAGTCGGCTCCAAGCCATATAAAAGAGACCAGATCTGAACGTGTCCTTCAAGAGAACATCGAGTTCCTGGAAACTTCCTGCCGCTCACCAACCACTGCGGTAAGTGTCTCCTTCTTGCTCTCCATCTTCTGCAGAAGATGTCCATCTCAGAAGGCATCTTTAGCAAGCAAGGGCCTTCCTTGGATTTGGCCATCAAGTAGTGGCGGGGGAGGCAGAACACGGTTGGGAAGAGTCAAGGTAGCAATCTTCTCCGGCGTCTTCAGGGCAGTTTATGGGGCTTAGACAGAAAGGAATGAGGGATCAACCCAGCCCTTGACGATGCC